ACGTGAGATTTATTTACTTAACAGAAAGATAAATTTTTTGACTTTTATTTTTTACTTTTTAATTTTTCTGAAGTCCAATTTTGATTTTTTTTACTAAATTAATTACACAGGTGAAGAAGACTCGGATGATGAAGAAGACTCAAATGAAGAGGATGAGTCGGATCCCGAAGATCTCACAGACCCTTACACCTTCGTCTTCTTCACGGCCAAAGGTTCGGAAGGGGTCCCGAGTGCGCAAACCTAGGGATCCCTTTACTCCTTCGTAGTTAGTTTGTGTTAGTTAATGTTAGTTTATGTTTGAATGAAAAACGGATTGTTTTGTATGTATAAACTTTATTTTGACCTTTTTGGTATGTAGTGTTTTTTTAATACATTATTGCGGTTCATCGTTTTTTATATTATGTTGGATTATTATTTGGTGAATTGATTGGTTCGATTGGTATTAGTTGGTTGAGCAGGTTTTTTTGGTTGTGATTGGTTGAACAAGTTTATTTCGTATGACATATTGAACAAGTTCCGATTTATTTCGTTTAAAAAATAAATGCCATTTTTTTTCCTACAGATTAAAACGTATTTGAAGAATACGTTTGCTTTCTTTTATTATGAAACCGTATTCCGGGAATACGTTTTATATTCAAATTGAATTAGGGCAAAATTGATTTCTTTAACTCAACGTATTATCCAAATACGTTTTGTGTTATTTTAGTCTAAAACCGTATTCCTGTAATACGGTTTATATTCAAATTGAAATAGGGCAAAATTGAATTTCGGGGAAAATTAATTTTTTCAACGCAAACATATTATCCAAATACGTTTTGATTTATTTTACTCTAACACCGTATTCCCGGAATACGTTTTATGTTCAAATTGAATTAGGGCAAAATTGAATTTAGGGCAAAATTGATTTTTCGACGCAAACGTAGTATACAAATACGTTTTATTATTCAAAATATTTTTTCCGAAAATTTTTTATTTTTAAAAACTATAAAAATTATTTTTATTTTAAAAACGCATTTACAGAATTCGCTTTTATAATTAAAAAATTTATTTATTTTTTTTTTATTTTAAAACGTATTCATATTACACGGTTTCATTTAAAACGTATTCCTGTTTTGCGTTTTAACTTAATTTAATTATGTTAATTATGTTTTTTTATTAATACGTATTATAATAATACGTTTTTTTATTATTCCTGTTTTTGTTTTTTGTCCAGTTTTTTTTAAAACGTATTCCTGTTTTTGTTTTTGTCCAGTTTTTTTTTTTTTTTTTTTTT